TTTTCTCTCGAAATAAACTCTTTTTCTCTCTTATAGACAATTTTATGAAATGGAATCTTCAATCTGAAGCCTTTTTGTGCTCTTTGAAAATGGCACACTGAATGGGGCAGTGCAATTTAAATTCCAAGGGATGGATTAGAGTTTTTATCGCTCTTGAAAGTCAAATAGCCCTTTCATTTCAGAAATAAGGCTCTCTTTCTCTCTTATAGACAATTTTATACGATGGAATCTTCAATTTGAAGCCTTTTTGTGCTCTTTGAAAATAGCACACTGAAAGGGGGCAGTGCAATTTAAATTTCAAGGGATGGATTAGAGTTTTTATTGCTCTTGAAAGTCAAATATCCCTTTCATTTCATTTTAGAAATAAATTCTAATACATTCCTTGATATTTAAATTGCGCTGCCCCTATTGTGTCCTCTTTTTAAAGAGCACAACAGAGCCCTCAGATTAGGCAGCAAGTAGCAAAACAAACCCGTAACACTGGACACAACATTCAATGGGATGATGCCCATATCATTGAGTTTGAAACGCACTTTTGGTCAAGAATGGTAGAAGAAGCATCTGCATAAAAAAGGTGAATCCTTCACTGAATAGGGATTCTTGCTATACACTTTTACCTTTGTGTAAATAATAAAAGGTCCACGGGCGTGGTTGTTAGAAGCTTAAACTACATAAAACTCTCTCCAATATTGCAGGGGGAGAGTCTTTGTCGGGAGTCTTTAATAATAAAAGGGATAAATCCTTCACTGAATAGGGATTCTTGCTATATGTTACCTTTCTTTGATCCAGTGATCTCGAGGCAGCAGACAGCAAGAAATTGTGTAAATAATTTGCTGTTGCCGGGAGTCTTGCATGGGGCGGAGCCCCAGGAAGTTCTTGAACTTTAAAAAAATTAGGAAATTCCAAATAGTCGTCATGAGCGATAGAAATTGTAATTTCCTCCTTGAGAGTCACATAACCCCTTTCATTTCATTTTAGAATTTAACCTCTCTTTCTCTCTTAAAGACAATTTCATATAACTTCTGTTTTCGTATTGTTGTACTTTTGTCCGCAGACTACTTAAGCACATGTCGATCCAACTCAGTCGGAAATGTAATATGTAGGCCTAAGTGTAAAGTAAAGTTTCATGTTCTTCCTTTTTTCTTTCTTTCTTTCTTTCTCTCCCTCTCTCTGTCTCTCTCCTTTTCCTCTATCTTCTTTTTTAAAAACATTATTCTTTCTTTTCTTCTCATTTTTCTGTGTGTGACATGCGTTACGCGTACGTCTATCAATGTCTTAATATGGTAGATTTACATTTTGATGTTTCCCTTTGTAGGTGCATCTTATTCCAGAAAGTGCCCTATTTTGATGGTGCCCCCCCCCCCCATGTATTGATCTTGATAAAAAATAACTTTCTCATTAATTCTATTTCCAATATATCTAATACTTGCACTAATCTCCAATATTAAAAAAATCGTCTACTTTCTCTCAAGACAACATTATATAAAGGATTCATTAATGCAAGGCTATCTCGCGAGTAATCTCTCAATTTCTAACTTCCTGCATTCCTCATCTCCCAGTCTCCCTTGCTTTAATATTCCTCGTTACTTCCTTCCAATTGAACTCCAACTTAATTGATGTTATACACTGTATCTATTCTTCAACTACAGGTAGATGCAAATGTTACTCAAAATCCATTATATAAATCACACTCAGGATACAGCCAACTGACGAGAATTGCTTCAATCTATATTTTACATGTATCATTATGGTTTTGGCTATGGTTATGGCTATGGTGATGAGTTGTCTAGGTAACATGTTGATGTGTTTGTTAAAATGTATTACCATGGTGCACCTTCTTGGTTGGGTATGTATTAACGTAAGTTCGTGCCTTTACATATCACAGTAGAAATAAATGTTTTATATTTGATGAAGAATAATATTAATATTTGGAGATTAGAAACACAAACAGTTTCCATAACCGTTCAAGTGTTTCAAGAAAAAGTTAAGCAAACTTTCTCCTGGATGTAAATTCACACTAGCGTATAGCACTAGCGAGCTCTCCGATCTAGGCTAGACTCTTCGCGAGCGGTTTCATTGGAATTTTAAGCGGTTTCATTGGAATTAATCGAGAAATTCCCCTCGCTAGCGTGTAAATAAAAAATACGCCGGCCGGCCATACGTAAATGGCAGTGACGGTAACGACGGATTAAGAGGAAGGGGTGCATACGTGAACTACAAGCGTATTGGGATGATCATACTATCATTTTAGAGTGTGCAATCTGGGTCGGAATCCAGCACAATATATTTATAAAAAAGAAGTTCACATAAAAGCACTCATGATAAAGCCGCGCCCGGCCCCTACAACATCATTTTGGATTTTCAGATGATGGGTCGGGTGGCAGGGGTAGGGGGCAAAGTTCGCCCCACTCTTTAAGTACCCCCCCCCCCCCAAAGGGCCACTTTTACTTTGTAAAGAAGTGCCCCTTCCCCTTTTTAACTCGGATAAGCGCACATTTCATCAACACATGTGCCCCCTTTCCTATCTGATAAGGGCTATTTAGAAAAATGAGGCCCTTCATAATAAAAAGTGTCCCTTTTCATCTCTGGTAAATGACCATTTTCATATATGAGAAGTTAATTCTTTTTACTTCAGTGCGCTCTTCACCTCCGATAATTGCCCCTATTCAAATATGAGAGATGCTCGTTTTACTTTGAAAAGTACCCCTTCCCCTCCTGATAAGTACTCTTTTCATCTATGATGGGTGCCCATTTTCACCTTTGCTAACTGCCCTTTTATTTTGAATCGTGTCCCTTTTCCTTTCTAATAAGGGACCTATCCCCTTTTCATAAATGCCCCTTTTCACCTCTGATAAATCAATTTCTGATGGATGCCCCTTTTCCGTCAACAAATGCCCATTTCCCATACTCATAAGTGCCCTATCTCATTTCTGGTGAGTGCCTCCTTTCAGGTGTAAGAAGTGCCCCGTTTGAACCTTTGATAATTACTCTTTGTACCTTGACACATGCTCCTTTTCTTTTCTAATAAGTGTCTTTATCCCTTTCGCACGTAGGCACGGGGGGGGGGGCACGTGCCCCTAACCTGCTCATCATTAGTCTTGCACCTAATATAAAGCGACAAAGAGTAATTTCCCCTAAAAAGGTCGCTCGCTCGCTCGCATTTATAGATGATACAATATGTCACTTTAAAACAAATGTTTTTTCAGTCTTCCGTGATGCTTATAACCCCATCATGATTTGTTTTTTTCCTCTTTATAAGATGTAATTTTTCACTCTGCGACCTCACAGATCTTACATTTTTTCTCGCTCGCTTTGCTCGCTCGCAAATGAATATTCAGACAATCACACCCAGCCGAAAGTGTGATGCTTAAGCAATATCTTGTATGATATATATAGAAAAACAAATATTGAAATCGTCACTGATAATGGCATCACAATGAAAGGGTATATACCAATGTCTAAAAAAATGTATATTTTCGCTTTGAGATTTCGCTTTGTAGGTGCCCTTTTTTGTATGTGCTTTCCACTTTGGAAATAGCTCCGCCGCCCCTGCTTACGCATTAGCGCCAGCGTTAATTTCACGCTTGCGTGCACAGGGGGTGTCTGTGTGTGTGTGTGTGTGTGGGGGGGGGTTCCTCTCTAGCTCTGAAGCTGATTTTTTTTTTTACCTGGATTCGTGCAATTCGGTTAATACTTTTAGAGGGAGTCTGAGGGGTGATGTGCCCCCCTCTGAAGCTGACATTTTTTGGATTTTTGAAACAGGATTCGTGCGTTTTGGTTAATACTTTTTTGGGGAGTCTGATTTGATTTCAAAACACCTGCAGTTAATGCGGGATTGGGTTGCAGCCTCTCTTTCCCCGAAAATTTAAAAATTACCAATATGCATTTGTTATATCTTATCTCGTATATTTTGGTGACAATTAACACTTTTCACAACATACATAAGCTCAAATTTCCGCTCACTCGCCAAATTATTAAACCAGGAAATAGATATTGGGGGAAGAGGCTTCAGCCCCCACTGATGGAAATGTCAAAAAAATTGCGCGCGAGCATAACTTGAAAACGGGGAATGTTGATATCGGACAAGAGATGTGACGTGAGCATGTTCCCTTTCCAAAATAATTGTGCCCGCTTGTAGGTACCAGTACACTATTAAAGTACAGTGCTTCTAATATGACCTTGTCAGTATTGGTAAGTTTAAATAACGGTCTGCGCGAATTTCGAATTTCCGGCCCCCCCCCCCCCCCCCCCCCCCCCCTATTGGAAAATCCTGGATCCGCGCCTGGTTTACAATATATCATTTAAGAAGTATACTATGCTAGTTCTAAACGACTTTGCGCTAAATAATGGTGTGGTGATCACACCAGCGCCAAACACTGGATAAGCCTAGCTGCTCCATGCAGATCGTTGCTTAAATAATTTCGCAGTGAACCTCATAGGCATTCTCTGTTGTTTAGAACCAGTAACCTGGACGACGAGCACGAGCACTTCGGTGCTATGTAGACCAGGGGTGTTTCACAAAGACTAAGATCGACTTTAGGTGGGATTTAACTAGGGCAGGCCATTCATGCCACTGGCTGCTCTCATCATTGGTCTCTCAATTATGTTCTTTAGATAGTATTTTTACCTTCACTAATGAAATATCAAGAAATATAAATTCTGTAGATTTTGTGACCATGATTTGTACTTTCCTTTAGAGATCAATGCCAGGAAACGGTGATAGTAAATGATGGCATGAATGGCCTGCCATAGTTAAGTCCAACTTAAGTCGATCTTAGTCTTTGTGAAACACCCCCAGGAGTACTACTCCATGCCTAGATTTTCAATTTGGTCAGTAATGTTTCATGAATACGAGTCCCAGACTCACACACACGTACACTGTGAATCACCTTAAAATAACACCCTAAGAAGATGAGCAAACTCTCTTCTCGCACAACTATTATGCTCACATAATAGCATGAATACGTGTGCATTGATGCAAAGAATTCGTCTTGTCATCGAACGTCTTAAGACGTTTAAAGTATCCCCGTCATACAGTAGCCTACTACCATCGAATCGAGCATCCCTATTCTTGCTGCTAATACTTCGATCATAGGCTTTTTTACCGTGCTATATACGTAGTTCTACAAAAGTGAGTACAACTGAAATATAATCATGATTCAGTGTAGGGTAATAATGATATCAATGGTACAGGGTAAAGGCTGGCATGGATTTTGAAAATAAAAATTGTTGTTTTCCATGACATATATCTTACAGTTTAGTTCTGCATAGCGTTATGCGGTGGTCACATCCCGCCGTACTTGCAAGTGCGTGCTGTCTACGTGCAAAAACGTGGGCAAAATTTGGGTATCGGTACGTGGTGAGTACCGACTCCGTACGGATTTTTGAGCACGCAGACACACCGTAGGACTTTTAGTGCACGAGGAACTTTCGCTGCGTTCGGGCTGCGTTCGGGCTACCGATTAACCCCAGTGCGTGTGACGTGCGAGCCCGGTACTCCCTCCCTGCCTTTGCCACTCCCTCTACGTTTTCAGAAAAACGTGGCGGCCGTGGCCTCCCCAAAAACCGTACGGACTAAAAACACGCACGGCCGGTTGTGGCCAACGCTTTACATATCATTCTTGTGTTATTGGCATATGTATTATGATTAATGCCCTGTCTCTTTTGATTGCGCCTTATTAATGAAACAATGCTGGGAATCTCTCCCTTTATACTTCTTTGCATCATTTTTAAAAATCTAACCTCGAGTTTTGGTTGCAATAAAGAAATAATAAATCATCTTAGCCTCTGAATCTCTTTTGGTGAATTTACTTTTTTCGTATAATCATCTTATTCTTATATAATCTCATTAATGATATTCTGTTGTATGCAGGGTGTCGGAATGTCTACCGACAGCAACCCCCAGAAGCCCTTCCGGGTCATCATGTGGTGTGTCCCACGGTCTATTTCAACTGCGATAACAAAATGTTTCAGCTTCATAGACAATACAAAGGTATGAGAAGAAAAAAAATCACAATTCGAATGAATTAGCTATCATCTATTTGAAACTCTATGAAAGTTTTCTGTTTTATTATCGTGGTAAATAAATAAATAACCCTTATAACCCTGCATTAATAATTAGTCACCTTTATCTTAATCAGGATTCTCTTTTCGAAAAGATGGTCTTTATTTCAGTTTACAATTACATGTATTCTGAAACAAGTCAGGAATACTGTAACAATCATAGATTGAGCTGGAGAATTTCGAAGCATTAAAGGTGATACAAAGTTTGGGTATGGGGTTATAAATTTGGTTCAAATGAACATATTGGAAGCATATGCAATGTTATTATATTCAATGATCGCGGTTGTCGCGGTTGAAAACGAGTCTAAAGTGATGAAAATTGAAAATAATTAACTCTTTATGTAGTTTAGCTCCCTCTCAAGACTGATATTACTTTAGCTTTAATTAAAACAATGCTTCTAGACTAAAATCGACCGATTGGCATATTCTGAGATTGTCAAGGTCGCCACCATGGAATGGCCTTAGGCGCTATTTTAAATATTTGAAATTTACCGGGAGCACCAATTTCTCGAAAGCAGCAGTGTTTTAGAGAGAGAGAGAGAGAGAGAGGGAGACAGTGAGAGAGAGAGAGAGAGAGAGAGAGAGAGTGAGAGAGAGAGAGAGAGAGAGAGAGAGAGGGGGGGAGGGGGGGAGGGATGCTTCAACTCTAAAGTTGTTGCAATCAATTTTTACCATGTTTACCTTACATTTTACAAAATACATTATACAAATACATTCTGTTTCCACTGCCATTGTGTTCTTTCCTGTCGTATTTGTTTTTCAGATTTGGTTCGAGCCTTACTGTCTAGCCTTCTTTCAAGACTACGCCATGAAGTACATGGGTTTGACGTTGCCGAGGAGTGTGACTAATTTTGATGCTGATGATTACATCGCTAGGGTAAAAGCTGCTGTGAAAGGAACACCTCTAGAACACCAACTGAAGCCAGAAATGATGGATCTCTCAATATTATTGTAAGTTTGTTTTTAGCCTCCCTGTTGTATTTAGTTTGGTGACTCATTTCCATAATTGTTCTCATTATTTCTAATAATTACAAAATAATTATAGAGTCGTTAAGGCCCCGTTGCACAAAACTTACCATTGATGGTAACTTTGCCATATCAATAGTAACTACCATGGAAACCTTGATTTTGATTGGCTGTTGAGCCCTGTTACCATGGTAGTTGCCATTGATGGTAAAGTTACCATCAATGGTAAGTTTTGTGCAACGGGGCCCTAATAATGAAAGTATCACCAACCAAAAAATGTTGGAAAATATGCTAAGAGTTGTTAAAGATTCCTGCAGACTATGTCTCTCTCATTTACTCTTCATCGCACCGTGCCATATCCGGAAAGTTGATCTGCTGGATATGAGGGGAATCTCCTCTACAAATAATCTATAGAAATGATTTGCCATCTGAATTACATTCTATTACAAACTAAAATATAAGAAGCTCCTTTAATTGTGTGTTTTATAAGCATGGGTGCATAATGGGGAGGATTGCTCTGGGTTGCTCTGGTTGGGATATGATTATGAAAGGCGAAAGCTCCTCTATCCTATTCTGGAAACCATACAAAATGTGCGCTCTCCAAATTGGTGAAAATTTCATTCTGTTACAAGTGAAAATACAAAGCAATTTCTCACACTCACTCAGTGTCATGCTTTCTCTCCTTCTCTTTCCTTTCATTTCATCGATATGGTTCCTATAATCACTACCCTGCTCGCGATTCATCAACCTGTCTCTACAGACGAGACGGCGTCCGGGAGCAGCTGAATTCCTTACCTGAAGATCGATCTATATTCTTGAAAGACATGGCATACGGCGTCACCAACTTCCTGGATCTACTCCCAAGCAAAGAATCCGGCTTCAAACACACCTTCTTGATCCGTGATCCTGAGAGGATGTTCCCGTCATGGAGGAACCTACTCATGGCTCAGATGAAGGCACATCCGCTTCCGGGTCAGAAACCTATCGACGAGTCCACCTTTGACCTCACTACAAACCCGGGATTCATGATGCCGGGATACACCTACAAGTGCCAGTACGATCTATGGCTGCACGTCAAGGAACACTTTGACCCGGAACCAGTAGTGATTGATATTGACGAGCTCGTATCCAACCCCAGAGAGCTCTTACCGAAGTATTTCGCAGCTTGCGGAATGCCTTGGGATGAGAGGCTACTATCCTGGGATGCTAGTCCGGCGATAGCGGGTGAGTGGAAGACCTTGTACCCGATGGGTAGTGGGGGTGTGACACACCAAAGAGCGTTAGCGTCGTCGTCTTTCCAACCATCGCGACCAAAACTTCAAAAGGCAGACATGACACCTGATGCAATCAAAGCAATCGACGAAACCATGGACTATTACAAGAAAATGGCGGCAACTCGAATCACTTTGGACTAAAACTAGGGCTTTTTGCAGCAAAATCCGTCTACAAGAATTTACACGTTGACCTGCCAAAACCAAGTTGAAGGGGAAAAGGTATATTTTTGTACACGGCAAATGGGAGAATCATCCACGTCCTACGTCACAATCTACTGACCAAACTGACCAATGAACACTATGAAATAAAGCCATTTATTATCGACTGGAATAATCACGTGGTTACATACTGTAAGCCTATACCGTATATAATTATATACGGACCAAATATCTATCGGAATAATGAACCTATATGTCAACTGATTTGTTTTTCTTCTATTTTTTTCTGTTCGTTTTCTTTTTCTAAATAAGGGCTTGTTTGGATTTCTCGCCTTCTTACTTATTTTTTATATATATGTGTATGTTTTTTTAAAACTTTGTATGTAAATCATGTTAGTCTATAATGTATGTTTCTTTGTATAATTATTGTGATTGCTTTTTGTTTGCACGGCCATGCTTAAGAACAGCCATTGGCTGAAGTATGCCACCGTGATAAAATAAAAATAATAAAAAAATATATATATATTTTTTTAAACTTAGAGTAATCTTTCTTAACGACTTTATTTTTTGATTGAATAACCCCTTTAAACGATAAAGCTAAGTACATAAATACTTGTGATTGCTTTTTGTTTGCACGGCCATGCTTAAGAACAGCCATTGGCTGAAGTATGCCACCGTGATAAAATAAAAATAATAAAAATAATATATATATTTTTTTTAAACTTAGAGTAATCTTTCTTAACGACTTTATTTTTTGATTGAATAACCCCTTTAAACGATAAAGCTAAGTACATAAATAGTACATACATAACATAATAATGTAGATTTTTTTTAATAGCCCTCAACCTGTAATACCTCAGTCACACCGCCAAACCGACTCCAAACCTGGCGACCGATTCTTGGGCGTTTGGTCCCCATGAAAGACCAGCGGCATCATAACGATACCGCTGAATATGGGCTATCCAGCCGTTTTTTTAATCTTGTAATTTATAATTTTATTCGTTATTGATTTACTGAATGCATGATGTATCTTTTATACAGAAATAAAACAAACAAACGAACAAACAAACAAATGTAATGTTATGTTTAGTCTGTTGTCGGTCTGGAGTTTGTCTCGTTGGTTTGACTAAGGTATGATACCTAAAGTGAATTCAGATTGTTGTTTGAATGCATTCGAATAAAGGCAATCATTGTTTAATCCTTCGTTTTTTGCATTCAGAGAGTGTTAGATGTGTTTCTTAACTCTTGAATGAGACGTTCAAAACTTGTAGGCCCGAATTCACAAAGCAAGGTTTGAGCTCAGACCAAGGTTTGAGCTCAAACCTCCTTTTGTTTCGCCAAACCTCCTTTTGTTCTTTACAAACCAGGTTTGTAAAAAAACGCGTAAAACGCGTCATAATTATGACGTACGAAAACCAAGGTTTGTCGACAAACCTCCTTTGTGAATTCGGGCCGTATTGTTTATAAATAAAAGTTGTTTTAGTTAGAATGATCCAGCAGCTCCAGCTACAGCGTGTTATGTCTATTTCTTTCCCCCGTTTGTATCTGTCTACCTATCTTTCTTCATTGTCCACTAGTTACCCCCCACTCTTCTTCCCTTTCCATTCTCTTCCCTCGCATTACACCCCCTCTCTCTCTCTCTCTCTCTCTCTCTCTCTTTCTTGTCCGTTTTCTTTCTTTTCTCTTTCTCTCTTTTTGTCACCATTGATTGCGGGACATGTGTCAATCGTACCCCTTAGCTATAGTATATACCCCATTGATATACATTATGTAGAAAACTGTACATGATTACCTCTGTATTGTCAATAAAACTAAAACACTTAGTGATAGCTGTTGAGATAGATCGAGTGACACACCACATCATGACCCGGAAGAGCTTCTCATCAACATCTGACATCCTGTATTTAAATAAACAATGAAAAGGCTTCAATTTTTATATAATTCAAACTAAAAGGTCGGAGCTTTTGTGTCTTTTTATTCATACACTGTCATGCGCAGTCATGTGCTTAAATTGAGGTTGAGGGGGGGGGGGGCGCTATAGTGCTGCATTTCTTCAGCTACCGCCCCCCCCATAACTTTTATACTACCAGTATTCGAACAACCGTCAACTGTTGTGCCTTTTTACCCATACACCTTATGCACAATCATGGACATTTGGCCGCCACCTCTGGTCGGATATTGAAGTGGTCCCTGGGGGGTGTTTCACAAAGATTCTAAGTCGAACTTAACTCAAAGTTGGACTTAAATATTATGGAGGGCCATTTGTAGCCTTATAATGAAATATATTCAAAATCAAAAATTCAAGTATTTTAGACTTTTCATAAATTCCACATCAAGAACATGAAATCTCCCATGATAATAGAAAATATGAATGATTTGAATCTACATTTTATACCTTTTAAAATAACTTTTACAAAATATTTTCAAAGATGCTAATGGCTTTCCATAATTTTTAAGTCCAACTTAGAGATACGTTCAACTTAGGATCTTTGTGAAACACCCCCTGGTTTGTTAGAATACATTTATTGTTGAGGCTGCATGGGTTGACCTTTAACTGTGTATGTCATGCATAAAGTTTGCACCGATAACGGGTCAAGGTGTACGCCATTGTTCAGAAATATACAGTTAACAACTTAACTATACATACCCTCACCAAGGTTAGTAATTTCATTTTTCATGCGAATAATTGATTTGTCCTGATTTATATTTTTTGTGAACGTGACATATTAAAGTTTACATCAAAACTATTGAACAGAGGCCCTATAAACAAGCGCGGATCCAGGGGGCCGAGCGGGCCTTGGCCCCCCCCCCCCCCCCAAAAAAAAAGAGAAGAAAGGAAAAGAAGAGAAAGGGAAAGGGAAAGAGGAGAGAAAGGTAAAGAAAGAAGAGGAAGAAGAAAAGAAAAGGGGGAAGAAGGAGATCGGGGGAGGGGGGCCGAAAGGGCCTTGCCTCCCAGGCTGTTGCACCCCCCCCCCCCACTGATAGGGGGGGGCTTGGGGGAAATCAAATTCAAACGTGGTTTATTTCTAATTCCATAACGGTGGATTACAAATAATGCTGAAATGACATAATTTCCGAGATTTTTCCTCACTTCTGAGTAAATTATACTTTTTTATGCGTTTGTTGGAAAATGACAAATTCCTAAATTTACAGCCAGGCAAGAATATGATTGTTGAGGAATGGCGGGGATCGGGGGCCTCGAGCCCCCCCCCCCCCTCCACTTTAAAAAAAAGTATATTAAAGAGAAATAAAAAAAGAAAGAGAGCAAGAAAGAAAGAATAATTAACTGCCAGTGTCAACAAATAATGAGGCATCAAAATATGCTCATCTGACTGTAGTTAAATGCCTAAAACCCCTAAGCTTACGGGGGAGGGGAAAAACTAAATTCAGACGAGGATTAAGAGTCGATAACTGTACTACGAATCGTCTTGTTTCTCTAATGATTTAATGAAACGTAAAAGCTTCCGCGCTTCGCGCGGGAGGGAGGGAGGAACTCGCTCCTCCCTACACCCACCCCCCCCCCCGCATTACGTCACTGCTGGTCACCATTACGTTCCAATATTTGGCTCACATAATTTCAAATTTGGGCCCCCCCCCCCCTAAGAAAACCTGGATCCGCGTCTGCCGTGATTTGCCAAATATCTTCAAAAGGAGAGACAAGTATGCCTTTAGGTGTGTGCATGGCACTTGAAAAGTTTCAGAGTGATGTACACGTACTATTCCTACATGAATTAGTGATTGGGAGACGCAAATTTGTTCCTTTCTGAAAAGAGTGCCGTGACTAAAAAAAGGTTGAAAAACACTGGTTTCAATTCGCGTTATACAAGAACTATACTGTAAGATGTGCATTCTACTGAGAGCGCGAATGCAATTGAATTTTACAAGGGATTCTGCTTTCAAAATTTTGTTTACAAAAAGATGAATTCATCTATGTAAAGATGTAAGGGGCGCTTTTTGCTGAATTCATGGACCTATATTGTGTTTTAACTACGCAAACACCACGGGTTAGTTCACAATTGTGCAGTTTTTATAGGGAAAAACATGAGATCTCAAATATGTACCAGAGAAATATACGTTGGAAATTACATTTTCAGAGATTCTTTCATTGACAAGTAAAGTTTGTATCCTTATGATCTTGTCGATCACGTGGATTTATTTAAATTTAAATTTAAATAAATGTGAAATATAATTTCATTTGATATAAGTGTTCCATTGAAGTTCACTGATATATCGAGAGTATGGCATTAAGTTTAGGCTTTTTCGCTTATGAATATTTTAATGGTTCCATCGTTTTGAGGATCCTCGGTAAATCCCGCAGATTCACCGCTTCAAAATTAGTGGACTACATTCCTCGAGTTTTTGTTTGTATGTCACCAACTTTTCAAGATATTTCATCAAAAAACATTGTTGTATTACGGAGATATAGCGTTAGGTGTCCAGAAATAGTACCTGTAATGTCCTTTTGTGGTTTTGATATGCTTGTTTTCTTAATGCTCTTGTCATGACTGTTTCCATGTTCTCCAATTTCCGTCTTTAATACACTGATCGCATATTTTGTAAATTGATGTATATGATACGAGTTAATAGAGAAATTGAGCACTGTCTGTCAAACTGTTATTACGTTTGCCAAAACAATTAAGTACATACGGAATGATACAAAGTAACTTCACTTTCCTGCCACGAAATAAGATCAGCGCAGCCAACAAGAAGGTTTTCGTTGGCTGCTGATACATGAAGGAGAATTTCTCATGACTATGGATTTAAAAAAAAAAATCTGCTTTATGCTTTTGAGTGACGCTAATGTACTTACTTTACTCGAGTTTTTGTTTGTATGTCACCAACTTTTCAAGATATTTCATCAAAAAACATTGTTGTATTACGGAGATATAGCGTTAGGTGTCCAGAAATAGTACCTGTAATATCCTTTTGTGATTTTGATATGATTGTTTTCTTAATGCTCTTGTCATGACTGTTTCCATGTTCTCCAATTTCCGTCTTTAATACACTGATCGCATATTTTGTAAATTGATGTATATGATACGAGTTAATAGAGAAATTTAGCACTGTCTGTCAAACTGTTTAAATGTTTGCCAACACAATGAAGTACATACGGAATGATACAGAGTAACTTCACTTTCCTGCCACGAAAATAAGATCAGCGCAGCTAACAAGAAGGTTTTCGTTGGCTGCTGATACATGAAGGAGAATTTCTCATGACTATGGATTTTAAAAAAATATTAAAAAATCCGCTTTATGCTTTTGAGTGACGCTAATGTACTAACTTTAATGAATAACAGTCTTCACAAATTTTCATAAAGGTATCGGTCTTCATTGAAGAGACAAACCCATGATCTTGGTGTATCACATTCGCTGTAAAATGACTGTCATATAGTTGCTGCGAAAAGCTGCGAAATGGCTCTAGAACAACCCCAAAACGACACATCGGTAACTGCCAGAGAAATAGAGTCCGGGGCAGCTGCCATCTACATTGGCGTAATTGTAATGGATGTTACATTTAATACTGTCGTTCTAGCTATTCTGCATCAACAGAGGGAACTCAACGAATACATGCGAATTTTGTACCAAGTATTGGCAGCACTGGATATGATCCTTGGGATTATTATTATTATTATTATTATTATTATTATTATTATTATTATTATTATTATTATTATTATTATTATTATTATTAGGCATTTAGCTACGCTATTCATAGTACACTATATCACAGCGCTTACAATGCAATATGCAATATAACAATGTAACCACAAATCCTAACATAACATTGAACAAACAAAAATAATAGCGAATCAAGTAGGAAATAAGTAGGTTTTAAGGAGTTTCTTAAAAACATCCACTGATGGAGCAGCTTTTATACTGGAGGGAAGTTTATTCCACTCCTTAGCTGTTGCAACAGTGAATGTGCGATCTCCTGCCTTACTACGAGCCACATGAAAAGTCAATCGAAATGGGTCTGCATTGGAGCGAAGGTTTGTACGTACAGGTCGATACAAGTCAAGACAGTCACTAAAATACTCTGGCGCCTGATCATGAAACAATTTGTATACAAATAAAAGAATCTTAAAAACAATCCTCTGTTTGATTGGCAATCAATACAATACAATACAATAAAGTAGAGTAGAGGCATGGCATCATAACGACGGTCTAACCGAAAAAATAATACGAGCGGCCCAGTTC